ACTACATGCTCAGCTCTTGTTTTAAAAACTTTGAGGCCATGTTAGCTTCAAACTCGCACTCTTCCTGCCCCAGTTCCCTAAGTAGCTGGCATTACAGGTGTGCATTCTTACAGTGGCTCAGATGGTTTTATGAAAGGAGTGTATACAAATATTATCCCACGAGAGAGGAAAGCAACATTTCTCAGGTCATATGTGGTCTCTTCAGATTGAGAGGTTATTCCTGGACATGTCACCACAGAAGACAGATCCCAAAGGAAAAAGGAACAAAGTGAAGGTGAATTGGGAAGGCAAAAGGGTAACAAAATCATCTCAGTTTGCCTGGAACATTTGGACTTTTGGTAATGGAATCTCGGTTCCCAAGAAACCCTTTCGTCCTAGTTAACACAAATGGTTAGCCAAGCTACAAGGCAGAGAATGGGAACATCTGTCTCAGAGCAGGACTTGAAGGATAATGTCTGAAAGCATCATCCTTAAAGTTTAGTATTAGTTTAGATTGAGAAGCCAAACTGCAATGGACTCCCCTTGCCCCACAAATACTAGGGATTGATCCTAGGGCTTTTGCACTGAGCTACCTCCTTAACCATTCTTTTATTTTTTGAGAAAGGGTCTTGTGAGTCACTAACTTGCCCAAACTGGACAACTTACTAAGATCCTGTCTCAAAAAAACAAAAAACTTATTGACTTACAGAGACATCTCAGGCTGGCCTCAAACTCATGGCAATCATCCTGCCTCAGCCTCTTGAGTGCTAGAATTATGGGCATGTTGTCACCAGGCCCAGCCCCCCCAAAACAATTAAGGAAGAGTTGGGGGCCAGGGATTTAGCTCAGTGGCATAAGCACCTGCCTGGCAAGCGCGAGGTTGTGAGTTTGATCCCCGGTATCAAAAAAATTTTTTTAAAAAGAAAGAGTTGGAAACTTCCGGGAGAACATGGCGGACAGATAACAGCAACTACCGGAGGCTCTCTGAAAGACTCAGCTCAGAAGCCAGGAATGGTGCGGACTATGGAGACATAAGCAGGTGGAGATATGCTCTGCTGACTCAGGAACGAACTGGGCTGAGAGAAACCAACTTGGAATGCAGTCCTGGTGCTAAAACAGGAACAGAAAAGCCTCGGTGTGGAGGCTGGACCCCGCGCCATTGTAAGCCTCGATTTGGGTTTCCCCGCAGCGAGGCGGCTGGCTGCCTCTACAGCGGCTCGGCAAGGAGAGAGACACGCAGAAGCTCTGAGAACGGCAATCTGCGAACGGCAGGGAGGCGTGCACTGACTTGTGGTGAGGTGAGTGAGAGAAACTGACACTCTACCACAGTTTGATTCCAGCAGAGGACTTTCTGGGCCCGAGCAGTCCTGCGGGAGCAGGGCACGGTGGCGACTCCAGCCACACATCCCCCTCTTGGGCTGGATTGGTGAAAAGTGCCTGGCCTGCGTGACGCTGCCGGCGGACCTGGTAGGCTGTCCCAACCCAGATCCCAGAGCCTGACGGTGGCCGGAGGGGAGACGCGTAGGCTGCCTGGTCCGTAACTCCCTGGTGCGCAGCGGTGAGCAGGAACACCTAACTGGTGCAATTCGATCAGGCTGTGGCTGACTGGGAGAGAAGCTGGGCCTCTTATATAAGCTTGCATATATAAGGAACAGAGAAGAAGAGGCAACATGGGAAGAGGCAGCAACAAGAAAGGCTCCTCGGCCCCCAATTCTGAGAAACAGGCAATAGCAGACACCGCACCAAATCACATAAGGCGCCATATAGAGAGCCTCATAGACCAATTCAGGAATGAAGTTATCAACGACCTGAAGCTAGAAGTATGCAGAATAGTTAGAGAAATGCTAAGTACCACCCAAGAAAAAACAGGTGGTGGAATGGAAGAACAGAAAAAAAGGGGAGAATTGTTTGATGGAGAAAACAGAGAAAGCATAGAATACGTGAAGCAGGTTCAAAGGGACTACCAAGATACTAAGAAGTCTATCGAAGACTGGCATAACAGCTTGAAAGAAACTAAGGACAGACTATCTGAACTGGAGGGCAGACTTGTAATATGGGAGAATGAAATGAAAAACTTCTTAAAAATAACAAAGAAACAAACAGCAATAATACAAAGACAAGAAGATGATAAGAGGATCCATAACTTAAGGATTAAGAACATAAAAGAAGAAGTAGGGACACAAACAAGTGAACTACAAAAGCTACTCACAGAAATAATCCAGGAGAATTTTCCTAATTTAGCAAAAGGTAAAGATACACAGATGTATGAGGCATACAGGACCCCAGCTACCTACAACCCAAACAGAGCTACACCCAGGCATATAATAATCAAAATTCCAGAAATTCAATACAAGAACAGAATATTAAAAGCTGTCAGAGACAAGAAACAGACCACTTACAAGGGAACACCCATCAGAATTACAGCAGATTTCTCTGCACAAACCATCAAATCACGAAGAGCGTGGGGGGAAATAATTCAAGCTTTGAAAGATAATAATCCCCAGCCAAGATTGAGATATCCTGCACAACTGTCCTTGGAAATTGATGGAAAAACAAGGTGCTTCCAGGATAAAGAGGAACTGGGGGAATTTGCAACCACCAATTCAACTCTACAGAGAGTATTGCAGGATATTCTAAAAAAAGAAAAAATACAAAGAATCCAGAAATAATGGCAGAGAGGCCACAACGAATGGAGCAGAGAACAAAATGAAGAAGACAAACTGACAGCTACTGACAGAAAAAGAGCTCAACAGAAATGAGGCAGAGAAGATTGGATGATAGGAACAGCTATTTTGGAGAAAATGACATCTTAATAGGTAATACTGATTTAGTATCATCTTGTTTTGAAGTCTCATCTAGCTTTTGTCCTTCTGTCTCCAATGGTCTAAATAGGCTGTATCTTATTGGATTTTATTATGTACGATAGTATAAGCAAAAACCTTTTAAAGACAAGGAGATTATACAGAAACCATTGTTCATTTTCTGTTAGTCGATTCTAAATACTCTGTAATGCTGTCATTCTCTTGAATGGTTTTACATTGTTTTGATATACTTAATGCTACAGTATACGAAGTTGTACTCAAGGATTTCAAAGAAAGAGACAATATGGTAACTACTTTTAGGTCAGGATTATCTGGTGGTGAAACACTACTCTGCTTAAATGGTTATGTTTTGATCTGCGCTGTTTCGTTGTTATGCCCTCTTTTATCTCAATCTCCACTCCATTATTTACTTTTTTATCTTTATCCTTTTAATTAAAGGAAAAAAATAGCAGGATATATTATAGTAACCCACTTTGACTTTTTATTACCTTGATTTAAAGCCCTGTATTACTCTCACCATCTGGTTTTTAACTGATGTTCCCCTATTCTGTTTTGCTGGATAGTATCAGGTTCGAAAGTTTAGGCATCAGCTGTGAAGATAATGAGATTCATTATGATGCCCATTCTTGTTGACTTTTATCTACTTTTGAAGACCTACAATGTCTCCAATGTTTTGGTTTTGTCGGTTTTATTCTTTACTGTTTTGTTCAATTATATTATAACTAACGATATAGGCAATTCTATTAGAGATAGCGGGAGGCATTATGGTAACCATTGTTGATCACCTTGTATTATGTTTTTACATTATCTATTATGTCCACCCTTTTGACTTGACTGATTCTGTTCTGTTATGTCACATTTGGTTTTACTCTCTTCCAAAAAAGTAATAATAACCGTGAGAGCAATGAAACCCAAAATGTGTAATAGTCATGGTACAAAAGAGAGGAAAAGAAAGTGCTTCAAACTATATAACTGCATGTATATTTAAATGTATAAGATAGAAAATGATATCACAGAGTTTTATTGGATCAATGAACAGAACTGTTTGCAGTATCATTGATGGAATGTCCACTTTACAAGCTTTAATTTTGTGACTTGAACAATTATTTCTAAGATGACAATATGTAATCCATTAACTAGTGATTTCCTACTGTTCATTTTTTTTTCTGTAAATCTGTATAACTTGTACCCTTTCCCTGCTTTTTTTTTTTTCTTTTCTCCTTAAATAAAATTTAAAAAAAAAAAGAAAAGAAAGAGTTGGGAGATTGGGAATATAGCTCAGTGGGAAGGCACTGGGTATAATCTCCAGTGTGACAATAAAGAAATTAAAATAAAATAAAGCTAGGTAAGGCAGCACATATCTGTAACCCAAGCACTCAGGAGGGCTGAGACCAAAAGGATCACAATTTCTAGCCCAGCCTGGGAAACTTAGCAGGACACTGTCTCAAAAACTGCAAAGGACTCAGAATGTAGTTCAGTGTGGAAGCTCTGGGTTTATCCTCAGCACAGCAAAAATCAAACAACATGAATTAACAAGTTCCCAGAGGATGCTTATGATGCTGGACTTGGACAACCATTACTCCAGTAGAAGATAGTTCTGGGGCTTCTATAGCCTACACCCACAGCTTCTGTTACAGTGGATTTGGGAAGCACATGCACTAACCTGGCAACTGCCCCTTGAAGGCATACACTGGTATGGGTGGATGATGAGTAGTTGGGAGGCCAAGTAGACTACATCTCTAAGGAAGACAATTTAGACTCACAGAAGTATATTCTGTATCTCACAGTGGTCTTCTGCAGCCACTGTCAAATCAGTGTTGAAAACTTTTTTTTTTTTGTTTTTGTCTGAGACAAGAGTCTCACTATTCAGCTACGGCTAGCCTTGAGATCACTCAAGGCTCATCTGAAACTCAAAATCCTCCTGCCTTAGCCTCTGGAGTGCTGGGATCACACGTGTACAGCACCACGCCTGGCAAAAAACTTCTAGTTTATGTTATCCATGCATTTGGACTTCAAGAGAAGGGGATGGCTAGTAGATGAGGGTTTAAGGAGAGCAGTTGGGAGCTGCCTACAAGTATACAGGAGTCCTTTGCAATAAGTGGAAAGTCCTGGCACAGTTTGGGGACAAATATTTCAGGGCAAAGCTAGAAACTGACCTTGGAGGTTGATTTTTTTTTCCTGAAATAAAAGAAACATGACTTTTGATGGCACTTTTTAATTTCAATAGACCCACACGATCCCATAACAAAGAGTCCCAACCGATGGAGGTCACCACCATGTGAAGGTGAATATATAAAAGGAATGGTCCATCTTGGCCCAGACTGCCTCAGTAAACTGGAATGCATTATAGGATACCTGGTACCCCTGTGCCTTAATGTCTTTCTGTAGGCAGCTCAGAAGGTCCAGTGCGTAATAATAATCTAAGTTGCAAGGCCCAAACTTGACAACTGACATCTTTTTTGACTCCAGAGAATATATAGGTGCTGCACACCATGCAGCGTGCTCCTCATTATACAGCAAACACACCACCACTTTCGATAGACGCCTCCCCACAGCCTCTGCCCGGGCCAGGCGCAGCAGGAGCTCCAGGTTCTCGCTGTAGTTTGGCACTTGCAGCAGAAACTGCTTCCGGGACACCTGCTCACCAAACATCTGAGGCGTGTCCTCCAAGAGCTTGACCAGAGGCTGAATGTCATAGAACTGGGCCTCACGGTATACCTCAGAGATGTCCTGCGTGGGCACCCGTCCGCTGCGCAAGTAGTCCAGGATGGGATGGAAATAGGTGCCAGGGCGGTCAATGAAGAAGCGGCCTTCAGCATCCTTGCAGGCCGTGGCTGAGCTGGAGAGCATCTCTGCCAGTCTGGAGCCAGGGTATTTCCTCAGGGTGTCGGTGGTTGTGGTAAAGATTTGGCCTCCCACATTGAGCTCCACCACGGTACATACCTGGGGGCACAAGCTCAGGATGAACCAACAGCACCACCTCCAGGAGGTCCTGATTTATTTTCATCCAGACAAGAACAGGAACACAACTTGGGGGAGCCTGCCCCATCATTGGCTTCAGCTATCAGAAGCCTATCATGCTGAAGAAGGTTGTGCTTATGCTGTATGGCTCAGCATACAGACATTTTAAGCAGAAAAAAATGTTTTAGTTTGATACCAGAAGTCTTTCAAGTATTTTATTAATTTTTATTGTTTTTTCGTACTGGATATCAAACTCAGGACCTCATGCTTGGCAGGCAGGCACTTATGCCACTGACCTATATCCCCAACCCCTCAAGCATTTTATTATTTTTATCTATTTAATTATTCAGTACTGGGAATCAAATTCATCCCTAGCCCCTCAAGCGCTTTATTTTTATCCATTTAATTATTCAGTACTGAAAAATGGAATCAAACTCATAACCATGTACTTGCCAGGCAGGCACTGTGCCACTGAACTATATCCCCTATCCCATTCAAGCATTCTAACACTGTCATTTAGAACATAGAATCTTACCAGTGGAAACTGCTGTGGAAGTCACAGCAATATTTCCAAAATCTGTGGCTTTTGACAAACTTTTTGCCCTCCCTGTACCTGTTTCCTCATCTACAAGCTGGGCATACAGAGTTGTTAAGTCAGGAGGTCCTAACAAGTATTCATTGATTTATGATACAGTAAAAGGTTAAAAAAAAAAGTTAAGGACCACTTTCGATATTTTAGAAGGGTTAAAGGCACAGCACTTTTATTTTGTTGGGTACTTGCTGGATCTCCATATACTGAGCTACCAATGGAAGACAAGAATTCATATATCATCAGCAGCTCTGAGTACCATTAAGGTCATAGATGATTTGAAAAATGGAATAGTGACTCACACTTGTAATCCCAGCACTTGGGAGGCTGAGGCATTGAAAACTGTTAAAAAGTTTGAGGTCAGCCTGGGCTACATAGTAAGTTCAAGATGATCCTTAACTCATAGTAATAAGCAGTGATACAAACAGCTTGGTGATGCCACAAATACACCCATGGTGCACTCCTATAATCCTAGCACTAGGGAGGTTGAGACTGGAGGATCAAAATTAACCTGAGTTCAAGGCCAGCCTGAACTGCGTAGTGAGAACCTGTCTCAAAAATAAGTAAATGAGGCCAGGTGTGATGGTGCACACCTGTAATCTCAGCATTTACAAAGCTGAGACAGGAGGATCACCATGAGTTGCAAGCCAACCTGCCCTACAAAGTGAGATCCTGTCTCAAAAACATAAAAAGATTGATGTTCCCATTTGAACTCAGGTTCCCTGTATTCCAAAGTTTGAGCTCTTTGTCCCGTTATCAGTCACCTCCACTCTTCCTTCCCTAACTAATTCATTCCACAAACGTAGGGAAGGGCTATGAGTCCAAGACTAGTTCTAAGCACCTAGGACAGAGTCCTGCCTCAAGGAGATCACAGGGGAAAGCAGCAACACGGAGCTAGCAGGTGTAGCTGGTGCACAGGAAGACTCAAAGGAAGGGGTCAGCCCTCTCTAGGTATGGGTTAGAGTTGTGATGGCTACCGATGAACAGACGTGGAGTCAAAGGAATGCTGGAAATCTGACCTGGATTTTCCATCACAAGACACTACAGGGCCAGGTAAGGGACCTGGCCCAGGAATGTCCTCAAGCCTTAGTAGGTGTGCCCTCATTCTCTACTAGTCTGTGGGCTCTACCTCTAAGATTAAGTACCACCCTGAATTAGGAGCCAGATGCAACCAGCTGCTGGGAAGCAGTGAGTTGCCATGGTAACAGTTCCTACCACAGGACAGTTCTACTGCCTGGAAGGCAAAGGAGTGAGTGACAGCAGCCAAATGATCAGCTGAGAACAATCAGCCCAGAAACTAAGATCTTTCTCCCATAAACCTCAGGGAGCTGTTTGGTAAGTAGAGGTCACCTGACTATAGCAGGCAGTTGAGTGGGAAGTTGATTACTTTAATCCTTGTGTATTTTGTACTGGGGATCAAACTCACAACCTTGCGCTTGCTAGGCAGATGTTTAAGTCACTAAGCTAAATCACCAGTGTGACCGTTCTGGCGGCCCGGCCTATGTTACTTAGGCCACTAACGGCTCACAGGTGCTCTTCACCTCCCTGTAATCCTGGTGAGGAAAGCTCAGAGAGAAAAGGCACAAAGCAAGGGTGAGATGAGGTGGAGGCGGGACTGAATCCCTCTCACTCAGTCTCTCTCCAGCTCTGTATGTGTCCCACCCCTTCCCCACACCCTATCCCTCCAAACACAGTCATTAGCTCAGGCCCTGGGTAGTTAGTTCTCTTTCCTTATCTGCTTTGAGATTTGCTGTTTGTGAAACAGGGAGGCAAAAAGGACTTGGAGATTTGGTGTGGTGGTACATGCCTGTAATCCCCTTTGTAAGGCTGAAGCAAAAGGGTCACACAAGTTTAGGACCTGTGCTGCATAGTCAGTTTTGTGTACTTGCTTGTCTCCCTATGTAGTTGAGGCTGGCCTTGATACCACAGACACACAAAAAGATGTTTAATTGGTGAGACATTTTTAGAAGCAGCCTATCTAACACATCTGTCCCCTTTTTGTGCCTCTTCCCCAGCTCTACTAAGGAACAGGTACCTGGCAAGTATTCCTGAAAAGGTAGAAAAGGTTATCTGAGTCTCTGGGGCCACAGGTTGGGAAACACATGGTCTCTAGTAGTCACTGCAGGATGTCAAGCTGGTGCTGGCCCTGAGGATACAGGGACAAATGGGCTCCACATTCACTCAGGTCCAGGGTCCTCTCCAAACATGCATACATTTCCTTAGGCCATCCTCAGTGGAGTGAATAGAAGGACATTTCCATGCAGAGGTCCCCAAGGCCCTCAAGATCTCACCCTAGGCTTTGAGTCCAGATACCAAAAAATAAAAAACAAAAATAAAAAAAGATCCCTCCCTAAGCCTACATCCCCATGTTTACAATTTCACCCTATCTCAGTTGTATGAGCCAGAAATCCTAGTTAATCTTGCATCTGCTCCTGCCCTCAATCTCTCCCATACAACTAAGTCCTATCTGCTGGTACTTCCATCTTTTTTTCTTTTTTGGATAAAGAATGTTGCTATGGGGCTGAGGATTTAGCTCAGTGGCATAAGCACCTGCCTGGCAAGCATGAGGTCATGAGTTCCATCCCTGGTACACAAAAAAGTGTTACTAAGTGGTTTAGGTTGGCCTCAAACTCTGCAATCTTCCTGCCTCAGCCTTCCCTGCCTCCCACCACACCTGACCCTCCTATCCATTCTGCGCTCTAAAACCAGGGAGCACATCTTTGGCTGATATACAAAGCTAATTTCATTCCTTGCATCAAGCACTTCCTTAGCTCATCATTCCCTCCCAGATAAACTCCAGACTCCTTAACAAGGCTTACAGGATTCTGCAACTAGCTGCTGCTCCGCCACCAACAGGCAGGTCAGGTTCCCTCACCACCAGGGCTTCAGTCCCTCCCTTGTGGTCACCGCCCCTTCAGGGAGTTCCCTCAGGAACCCTTCTGGCAGGGTTGCCTTGTGTTCCCGCAAGACCCTCCTTTGTAATATATACCCGGTTTGTTCATCTGTACCCCGTTAGACTGAGAGATTCCTAAAGGAAGCACCGGTCTGGGTTCATCACTAGGTCACTAGTACCTGCTGCAGGGCTCTGCGCAACTGCCACACTCAATAACATCTGCGGAACTGAATGCAGCTCACCTGAGGCGCTGATGCAACAGAGCACCTGGTATTGTCTGATCAAGGCCAGTCTCACCCTCCCTACCTGCCATTAAGCTCACCGCAGGCTCTGCTTTACCCTCGGCCAGACGGTAATTGAATCACGAAGTTATAGAGTACCCAGGGCACTCAGCATCTAGCAGCGAGCGTGCTTTGGTGACTCGGGAGAGAAGAGCAAAGCCTTTAGCAAACATCTCCCGGTAGGAAAGGGAACCCTCCCTGCACTGCTGGACGGCTCTGCCTCCTTTCTTTCAGTCTTCAGGATGGCGCTTAGTCTAGGACCAGAGTAAGTGCTCTGCTCCTGGAATGCACCTCCCCCAGACTCCTGTGCCCTGGGAGGGCACAGACGGACACAGTGGACCTGGGGACCCAACAAGAGGGCCTGGGCAGGAAGGGAGGGAGGGCACCGGCCGGCGCTCTGGCGGGCTTCCCCATGGGGCGGGAGGAGGAAGGCACCGGGAAGAGCTGGGGACCACAGCTGGCAGCCCTGGGCGCGGAGGGGGCGCCAAGAGAACCCAAAACAAAGACGTGGGGCAGAGGGTGAGGGCAGCTGGGGGGGCTGGGCGAGAAAAAGAGTGAAGAAGAGATCTGCAGAGCTGGGACTGGAGACCAATGCGCGAAGGCAGAGCGATCAAAGCTGGAGGAGCAGCCCAGGGCCAAAGAGGGGGCCTCCGGCGAGGAGCGGCAGGCTGGAGCGGGGCAGAAGGCGGAGATTCACGCCAGAGAGACCGGAGAACCTGAAACCAAAGGCGGGAAAGCCCAGGCTGCCGGGCTGCAGAGCAGCGAGGCGGGGAGACGCAGCTGGCCCCAGCGCCCCCACCGCCGCCGGGCACTCACGCTGGGAGGGCTGGGCCGCATGTTCCGGGGCGTTGGGGTGCTGCTCATCCTGGTCCCGGGCGCAGCAGCACAGCAGCCTGGCTTGGTGCAGCCACCTCTGGCCGGCAGAACCGCACTGGCTCGGTGCTGGTAGCAGGGGCAAGCCAGTCCAGACTGGGCGGGCTTTGCAGACACGTTGGGGAAGTCCTGCCTCTTTCTTAGCCTTGGGCTATTTAACATTCAAATGAGGATGACTGAGGAAATTGATACTGTTACAGGAAACTGAGTTAGCTACATATTAGTTAAATATTATAGGCAGTGACACAAGGCTAGGTCCTAGAAGCCCAGATACCTTGCCACTGTGGGGGAGACAAGACACTTCCTGCTGCGGGCCAGGCCTCAAGACTTTTAAAAGATCAAACAAATGCATCCACATCCAAAGGACTGATATTCTAAATAGCTCCCTATCACCCTGAGGAAGTCTGGGTGGCTTTCCACCATACCAAATCTCTAAGGGGAGAGTCACTGCTCTGTAAGAATGCCTGCTTTCTAAGTGACTCGCTTTCCCATTTGTCCCTAATGTAATCAATTTTACCTGAACAGTTAGTCTTACTGATTAACCATGGTTCTGTCCCACCTTATGCCTTCTTCCTTGTGAGTTTTCAGTTTTCCCCACCTTGAACCCATGATTTTACTCCATGATTTTACTCTATAAAAGTCCCTAGAAAAGACAGATTCCTTGGCAACCCACTAGGGACCCCTTCTGTCTCTCTCAGGTGGAAGCTTTCTTTCTCTCAATAAATATATCCTGTTTTTAACCTTCATTGTTCCTAAAATTCATTCCTCGATTTTAGAGAACATGGACTTGTACCAGACATGTAGTAGGTTGGGACTTGCGTTCTCCTATATCAATAGGATCCACTGGAGACTTTACCCCTCCCACCACCTTGAGAGGAAAGACTCACAGCGGCTGAAAAGTATGAAATATAAATGACCTTTATTTTGAGAATGCAGGGAGAGACACCCCCGATCCCCTGGGGCGCAGCATCTCCCCCCAGGGTCGGCGATCTCTCCGTGGAACACGTGGAGAGGGGGCATATATGTAGCTTAGGTTAGGGGTGGTACCTGAGGGGCATTAGGGATGCACAAGTAGCCCATTGGTATACTTTTGGCGCCATAAGTAAATTCCTAGGGGTGGGGAAGATAGAGCCATAGGTAAACTCCTAGGGGTGGGGGGGATAGGGGCTCCTCGCTTCCGGCTGAGGCTTTTCCAGCTACAGTGTCCGGCCTGGGCCAAAACTCTTTCAAAGACCATTTGTGCCCACTCTGTGGGTAAGAAGAGAGAGGTTCCTGGGAGTAGGGCGGCCAGTGTGGAAGGTGCCTGGCTGTGAAGTAGTTTTCCTCCTCAAAACAAGCTGTGAAGTAGTTTTCCTCCTCAAAACAAAACAGGCAGGAGCTGCATAACCTCTTAAAAGCCCTGTGGCAAGGAGAAAAAAAGAGAAGATTTGTAGTCTTGTAATCCACAAACGAGCCCCCAAACTCGAGTTGAAAAAATGAGGCAAAAACATATTTTAAAAGCAGCACTGATTTTATCTTGGGCCCAGCAACACAGTGCAGTAGGAGATTGCAAAAGTTGTGTGTGTGTGTGTGTGTGTGTGTGTGTACCTCTATACTTTTTACCTTTAAGTACTTATCACAATTTACAAAGTAAAGGGGTTTGGGTGTGGATCAGGAGATAGGCTAATGGGGAAGATCCTGTTTTTCCTCAGCAGAGAATAGAGGAGTCTAGCAGCAATTAACAACATTTTGTTACCTTATTGTAGCACCACATCTGTTATTTGTAGAGGGCAGCAATGGTTAACATATCAATTAGGTCACCCAGAGGGAGAAGGGAGAAGAAAAACGTGTACAGAACAGTTAGGGTCACATTACAGGTATTTTGGTATAATACAAATACAATGAAGCTCTTTTTTTCTAGTGTACAACAGTAGAAGAGAAACTGACAAATACTATTTTGGCTAAGTGAGTAAGCAAGGTCAAGTCAGCAGTTACAAATTCTGGTGTTGTATGTATACTTCATAAGAGCAGATAAAAATGATTTTCCACCAGAACTGTTGCTATGATGTGTGCCTGTAATCTCAGTGGTGTTGACCTTTCTGTCACTGTGACAAAATACCTTAGAAAAACAACTTTAAACGAGGAGAGATTGATTTTGGCTTGGAGTTTGAGAAGTTTCAGTCAAGGGTCAGCTGATTCCACTGGTTTTTGGCCTGTGGTTGTTATAGGCAACTAAGTTAGATAAAAATATAAGCAGTCAGGCCTGGGCCCTCAAGGAGCATCCACACCCTAAGGATAAACATCAGAGACTGATACTTTAAATAGATACCAACTCCTTGAGGCCCAGTAGAGCCACTAGCCCAACTCTCTATAGGAAATGTACTATACTGCATTTATACCTATTTGCTATGTGACTGGCTTCCCCACTTAATCCCAACTTAGTCAATTTTACCTGAGCAATTACACTCATAATCTTATTGGTTGACCATAATCTTACTGGTTGACCTTCTCATGCTCATCTTGGACCTGCCTCACATCATGGTTTTGCTTTATAAAAATCCCAAAACAGGTAGGGTCCTTGGCAACCCACTCAGGATCCCTTCTGTCTCTTTTCTAGAAAGAAGCTTGCTTCCTCTCAATAAATATATTCTGCTCTTAACCTCCATTGTTCCTAAAATTCATTCTTCTATTTTAGAGAACACACACTGATAGTGGACATCTAGCAGGCTGAGAGTTTCTTTCCCTTATATCATGGTGAGGCAGAAACCTTATATGGGTTGGGACAGAACCCTACGGAGTTTGGGGGGAGGCAAAATGGGCAAGGTACCCCTTGTAGGATTTCCACCGGCACATCATACATACACGCATGCACACACACACACGCTGTAGGAAGGTGAATAGAAGGAAAAAGGGAGGGAGGAAGAAGCAAATATTGAACATGTAAATTCCTGTGTATGTTTCAGCTGGCAAGAAAATTATGGGAAAACTCCAAGCAGACTCTGGACTCCAATGGGGTCATCTTCAACAGTGTGTGACCTAGAGCTTTTCTTTTTAAGTGAAAGTGAACTAAAAGTCAAATTCCTGACCCTCTTGTTGCAGGCAGCTGAATTAGTTAAAAATATTATAGGCAGTGAGACCGGGCTAGGTCCTCAAAGGAGCCAGTACAGAAGCCCAGATACCTTGCAACTGTGGGGGAGACAGACACTTCCTGCTTTGAGTCAGGCCTAAAGACAAAAGATCAAACAAATGCATCCATATCCTAAGGACTGATATCTAAATAACTCCCTATCACCCTGAGGAAGCCTTTAGTCACAATACCAGCCCCCTAGGAAAGAGTCTTTGCTTTCTAAGAATGCCTGCTTTTTATGTGACTCGCTTCCCTATTTGTCTCCCATGTAATCAGTTTTACCTGAACTACTAATCTTATTGGCTAATCATAGTTCTGTCCCACCTCATGCCCATCTGCCTTGTGAGTTTTCAATTTTCCCCACCTTGAACACATCTCACCTCATGATTTTGCTCTATAAAAGTCCCTAGAAAAGACAGAGTCCTTGGCAACCCTCTGAGGGACCCCTTCTGTCTCTCTCTGACAGAAGCTTTCTTTCTCTCAATAAATATATTCTACTCTTAACCTCCATTGTTCCTAAAATTCATTCTTCAATTTTAGAGAACACAAATTGGTACCAGACATAGTAGGTCAAGAGTTTCATTCCCCTATATCACTCTCACAGTGTAGGATGCCAGATTGGAGGGTAAATTAGAAAAACAAAAATTTGCCACATGGTTAACACCTTAAAACTTCCTCATTCCTTAGTTCTGGGTGAGAAAAGCCCCCTCCAAAACTTTTTGACTAGAGTTCAGGTAGATTTGGAGCCCAATATGCTCAGCTGCACTAACAATAAAAACAACCAGGAATTTAATGAAAGATGGACCTGAATTAGGAGTGTTAGTGGATGCTTGAAGAGAAGAAAATCCAGTACAGAGGGTTATGTGTGAAGCCTGGACTCTACCTCAGCCTCAGGGGAAAAAGGAGGGTGTTGTGGTCAAATTTTGCAAGGGAATAGATTAATACAGGACATTTATAGGATTATTTTATAGTATCTACCCAAAATTAAATGCAGAAGAGTGCAGTAGATCTGTCCATTCGCTTCATTAGAGACTCAAAGAATCCAGCTGAGGGCCTGGATCCCATGGCAATGTCCTGCGTGAGTCCAGCTGAAGACCTAGAACCCATGGCAATATCCTCCACAAGAGTCCTGCTGGAGGCCCAGAGCCCATGACAATGCCCCCTGCAAGTCTGTATCAAGGATCTGCACTGCACCAAAGGCCAGTGGTGGAAACTAGAAAGTCTGTGCCAGCAGGTTGAGGGATGTGCACTGGAGCCAAGGAGCAATGCTCAAGTTAAGATCCATAGATCCCCAGAAAGAAACCACAGCCATCTTCAGCAACAGTGAGGACCTGAGTTCCTCTGAGGATAAGAACAGCTGAGTTCATGTCAGGAAAATCAGCATGACAAGCTTTTCCAGGAGAATCAACAACACACCATCTTTCCCTCCAGTTCTGCTTTTATACTGTCAGCAACAATCCTCAGGTGGGCAGCCACACTGACTCAGCTCAGCTGGGTGTTACGAGTTGACTGTTAGTTAAACCACCACAGAGTGGGAGAGAGCCAAGTGGGAGGAGGCTAAGTCCATCAGAGAGCAGGAGGCACAAAAAGAGCTGATAGCTCACCCTAACCCTCACCCTGGGTTCAATCTCCAGTACCACAGGAGAAAAAAAATAAATGTCCAACAGATACATGTTCACAATCTAAAATCACAAACCACAAAGAAAAGTAAGGCACAATGAATAGGAATCCACAGGATATCAAGCCCTTTTGATATTGATGGTTACCAGGCACAGAACGTAAGTGTATTTAATGTCCTTAAAGAAATAAAAGGGTGTGTTTAAAACATGATGAGCCAGATGCAGAGCAAGATAATCACAAGCTCAAGACTAGCTCAGGTACATTAACAAGTTCCTGTCTCAAAAAATAGAAAAGGCTGAAGATATAGCTTGATGATTGGCTCTGGATTTGGTCTCCAGTACTGAAAGAAAAAACGCAGGGCTAGAAGTTGTGCATGATGGCACACATCTATAATCCTGGCATAGTGGAAGACTGAAACAAGAGGACTGCAACTGTGGGCCCAGCCTGGGCAATTGATTTACCGGCTTACCAAGATCTTGTCTCAAAACAAAAAATAAATAAAAATAAAAATAAAGTGCGGGAGATGTAGCTCAGTGCAAAAGTCCTGGGTTCAAGCTCCAACACCATCCCCCCAAGCTCAAAATGACCATGTAATTTTTTAGAAAGTAAAATAGAACTTCTAAAAATGAAAAAAATAAATAATGAAAATTTCCAGCAACAGAGAAGGGATTGAAGAAATATAACTAAAGGAACAATGAGGTATTACATTTCATCCAATTTGGCAAATATTAAGAACAAAACATAGACTGGGCATGGAGGCACACACCTATAATCCCAGCACTCAGGAGACTGAGGCAGAAGGATTGCTGTGAGTTCGAGGCCAGCCTCTTCTACATGGTGAAACCTTGTATTGAAAAGATTTTAAAAAAAATATATGCAGAGGCAGGAATATAGGAATAGCTACTGAAACTTTTCTGATTGGAAGATGAATTTCTGTGACCTTTTTTGCAAAGTACTATGACTATATCAAACAAAAATGAGCCAAGAATCTCACTTCTGAGAATCTAGCCAAAACATCAGTCTGAAAGGATCTATGAACACTCAGTATTTATCACTGATCTGTTTGTGGTGGCAAAAAAATAGATACTTGGGGTTGGAGATTTAGCTTAGTGGTTCTAGCACCTGCCTGATAAGCATGAGGTTGTGAGTTCAATCCCTGATACCAAAAAAAAAAAGAAGGAAGATATTCATGGGCAGCCATGCTGAACAGGTAGAGAACCATGAAGCCAACCCATTCCCTCCCACGAGCCAGCCAGTGCACATGGGCTGGGAGACAAGAAGAGTACCCCCTCCAAGCTACCAGCTGATTCAGAGGAACACAGGCTGAGATGACAGCAACTGAAGTAAAAGAAACAATTTCATACCTATATTGTTTGACTGACTTTGCAGGCCTAAAGCCAGTAGTCTGAGCATCTATTTAGAGGACAACAATTTGTAATATAGAAACTATGGGGGATTTCCTTCCGTCTTTTTTTTTTTTTGTCTTTTTCATTTTTATTGGTACCAGGGATCGAACTCACAACCGCCTGCTTGCAAGACAGGTGCTTATGCCGCTGAGCTAAATCCCCAGCCCCTCTGTCTTCTTTTTGAAATTCAATATTTTTCTCACTGTTTTGTTTCATTCTATTGTTTTGTTTTATTCCCTTTAAAATAAAAAAATTTAAAAATACGTATTTGTGACAATGATTGAATAAGTCATCATTTGTTGTAGAATATTATGCATCTACTCAAAAGAAAAGGGGAACAGTGGTTATGTCTATAATCTCAGCTATTTGAGAAGCTGAGGTATGAGGATAGCAAGATCAAAGCTAGTCTGGGCAATGTAGCAAGACCCTTTTTAGTTTTGAGACAGTGCCTCCCTATATAGTTGAGGCTGGTTTTAAGTTCACTATATAGTCCAGGCTGGCCTTAAATTTGTGGTGATGCTACTGGGTTAGTCCCATAACTTCTAGGACTACAGGTGTACAGCACCATTCTCAGCCAACCCTGTCTTTAAATAAAAATGAAAAATGAGACAGAGTGTAGTGATACATACTTGTAATGCCAGCACTTGGGAGGCTGAGAGGCAGGAGGATCATTGTGACTTTGAGGCCAACCTGGACTACATAGTGAGACCTGTCTCAAAAAACAAACAAAAAAGGGCTGGGAATTTAACTCAGCGGCATACGCACCTGCCTTGCAAGCAGGCGGTCGTGAGTTCGATTCCCCAGTACCAATAAAAATGAAAATGACAAACAAACAAACAGGAGTTGGAGTAGGTTTATTTCTTTTCACCATGATTCACTAACTCACAATAAATATCAGATCAGTATATATAGTGGGAATTCATTTTGTTTTGTTGAGATAGGACCTCACTATGCTATTCAGACTGACCCTAAACTCACTATGTAGCCTAGACTGACCCCAGACTCACAATGTTCTTTCTGCCTCAGCCTCCTAAATCTTAGAACTATAGGCATGCACCACCACACCTGTCTATAGTGAGCATTAGTTTGTGAAAACATATAACAAATATACTAGACTACTTTTTATGTAAGTTTTGTTATGTTATCATATAAGTAGAAAGATGGTTAAAGATACATACCAGTGTTAACATTCATTGTTCACTAGGGTAGGGGTAGAAATGAAGAGTTTTTAAATTAATGCATCTTTATATCAATTGTAATGAATTGTTTTTGGTACCAGAGATGGAACTCACAACCTTGCACTTCCCAGGCAGGCACTTATGCCACTGAGCTAAACCCCTGGCCTGTGATGAATGTTAAAAAGTACAAAAGAAAAAAGTCAACATCATAAGATAAGCACTGACATTCTAGAAAGTCAGCTTTTCAACCTGGGGGAATCCGGGCAGGCTTCATGAAAGAGGGGGCACATGAGCTGGATCTTAAAAGAGTAAGAGATTCATTGCCACGAGGTCTACAGCGGATTTTTGTCAGTGGTAGTTGAGTTGTGACAAGTGAAGCAAAAAAGAAAAAATGACCATGTTCTGAGCACCGGCAGCAAATATGGGGCCTCACATTAGTCCTTCCAAATAGTTAGAATTGCCTTACTGACGAGGGAAACTGAGGTTTGGAGAAGTTAAAGGAAGAGTGCAGAGGCCACATAGCTGGTACTTATAGAGCTAAGTTTGAACTTCATGTATTCCTCAAAAGCCCCTCAGCCAGGCATGGTGGCACAGGCCTGTAATCCCAGCATTTGGAGCCAGAGGCAAGAGGATCTCAAGTTGAATCTTGCTGAGCAACTGAGCAAAACCATGTCTCGAAATAAAAGTTTAAGAAGAGTTTGGGAGGTACCTCAGTGGCGGAGAACACCAGGGTTTGATTCCCAGTGCTGACAAACAAATAAACCAAACCTCTCTCTTTGGCTATACAGAATTGTCTTGTATTTTGCATTTGTCTTTTTTTGTTACTATAATAAAATACGTGAGGCTGGACTCTTTGGTTCAGTGGCAGAACGCTTGCCTGTCATGTGCAAATCCCTACATCTGATCCTCAGCATGGTGACAACAACAAAAACAGAGATCCCTAAGGCTGGGCACTTTACAAAGAAAAGAGACTTATTTATCTCACAGTTTAGAGGCCGAAAATCTAAGACCAGGAGGCCCTTAGATTCCACCTTGGTGAGGACCCCTTGGCTGAATTCCATCATGACATTGGCCTCAACGTGGGAGTGTGAGAGGGGGAGATCATATTCACCCGGAGACCAGAGGTCAGAGCGCAAAACCAGGGAGGATTGTAGACCTCGAGGTAGGTACCACCTCTAAAAGCCCCAAGCCCTATCACAGGACCACCCTGGGAACCTAGCTTCCAACACATCACATCCAGACCATAGTCCACGCCTTAGCATTAGTACTCTGCAAATGGTCCACGCCAAGGAGAGGGCCTGTGATCTCTTCAAGGGGCTTCCCTGGGTTGGGAGCTTCTTGGGGCCCCACACAGCACAGATACCCACATTTGTTTGTAGAGTTGTACTCCTCCCAGAGAGCTGAGTAGCTGTGTAGGCAGGGATGATCCACAGGGAGGCAGAGTTGTAAGGGTCTTCACCAAAGGAAAAAGAGCCAATACCAACAGCCTGGGCTTTTAGCTCCAGTTCCTGCTTCTTCTCCATCCCAGCCTCCTGAAACACAACCAGCACATGAATTCCTTTCTGCTTTTGTTTTTATGCTGTTCCCTCTGCTTGGCGTGCTTTTCCTGCCTGCTTATTCTTCTCTGCCTACAAAACTCAGGCATAGTTTTTAAGACCCAACTTGGGTATCAATGGTCCTCTTCTTCCTTTTGTGTCCGTTAGAGCCTCACAATTCAAAAATAAAAAATACTACCATATTTTTTAAAAATGTCTGAATATCTGTAAGTTCCAGCAATGAAGTGGAGCACTAGCCAGGCATGGTGGCACAAGTCTATCTTCCCAATGTTTGGGAAGCTGAGGCAGGGAAATCACATGTTCAGGGTCCGCCTGGACTACATAGTAAGATTCTGCCTCAAACAAAACAAAACAAACAATAAAACAGAGCGGCAGGAGACATGAGGCCTGAGTTTCAGCTCTGTTTACATTTGTCCCTGCCCCTTGTGGGCCTCAGTTGCCCATCTATGACATGGTGGGCGGCGGGGGTTTTATCTGAGAGGGTCCCATGATCCAGCCTTGCTTGATACTATGGCAACCAAAAGGTTCAAAGAGGCCTCCAGTGCAGTCTGTGATTAGATCTTGTTTCCCATTGGCCTAAATCCAAGAGAGAGGGCTGCTTGCCTTTGCCCTCCTCCAGCTCACCCCTCTCTGCCCGTCCTGAGACAAAGCCGCCAGCCCCTCTGCTCTCCAGGCAGCGGGGCTTTGGGCCAGCCAGCCAAGTGGCAGCTGGGACTAAGATGAAAGGGCCCTCAGAAGGTCACCTGTGGCAGAGTGCCCAGCCCAGCTTGGCAGCCGTGGGCCCAGCTGTCCCACAAGGCCTCCCACCCACCGCTCCCACACAAGGCTCTCTTTGTGAGTGCCAAAGAAGAAGCAGCCCTGCCAACCCACAAGGACTTCCTTCCTTTCCCTTTGCTCTGCAAGTGCTTGAGAAATACCCAGTTTTTAAGGAATGCTCCGGACCTGGACCAGACTGGCCTGATTTGTGGCAGGTAGTCAAGAGTTTTATGCCATTTAATCTTGGGAACAATGCTGATAACACATCTCCCCCTTCCCCAGCATACTGGGAATTAAACCCAAGACCTTCACACTACGTCCAGTTGCCAGTTGCCAGGCTGAGCTCTAACTTGCTGAGATTATAGGCATGCACCATTATATGTGGCTGTCATGCTCTTTTAAGAGAAGAAGAATATACATCTCTGAATGCCTACTATGTGTCAATTAGGGTGCCAAGCGCTGGGGAAAAAAGTAAGCCCAGGATGGGAGCTGATCTCACAAGTTTCACTTTCACCAGGAACAGAGACTGTAATTGAATACCACAAATAAACATCTGGTCACAGTGTGAGCGGTGCTTGTACCAGGAACCGTAGCTATGAATAGGTATGCGGAAGAGCAGGGGAAAGGTAGGCATAGTGACACACACCTGTAATCCTAGGACTCAGGAAGCTGAGGGAAGAGGATCATGAACTCAAGTCCAACCGGGCTACACAGCAAGATCTGGTCTCAAAAAATGAAAGAAAGAAGGAAGAGAGGAAAGGTGAGCAGATAGAAAATGGTGCTTTCTTTCATCAGCAGGGAGCCAGGGCAGTGGGGGCCTCCCAGAGGTGAGGTCTCAAGGGAGGTGAGGAGCCAAGTGGAAAAAGGAGGGTGGGATACAGGGTGCATGGCCCTGAGCCCTGAGGCTGGAAGGTGGTACTGGGTCTGAGGAGAAACTGGAGGTCTGTGGCATGAGAGCAGGGAAGGGCGCTCCCTTTCATCACCTTTGGCTGAGGCAGCCGCTGTTAGGTCATATTTTGAACTCAGGAGAACATCAAGCCTCAGTGAATCAACCTCTCTGTCAACCAATTTGTCCTCCCTTTCCCCCACACCAGGCTTGGAGCTCATTATTTAGAAGCACATCCCTTGAACTCTGGTCCCTCCAGAGTTTCTGGGAGGAATCCAGGGGTCCTGCACACCAGTGCCAAGCACAGGCAGGCACAGTGCATCCATGCAGGACAGAAGTTTGGCCGGCTTCCTTGTGGAGCCCCCACCTAGCAGAGTTCTTTGCTGTAGGGAACAGGCAGCCAGTCTCTGAGTAAGGATGAAATTTGCTCACTTTGGGGCTGGGAGTGTAGGTACGTGGGTGAGCACTTTCCTAGCATACACAGGCCCTGGGTTTGATTCCCAGAACTGCAAACACAAACAAAATAAAATAAAGGGGAAAAAAGGAGCTTGCTCAATTGAATCTTGACTGGAAAAGCAGAGACCATAACTAGAAGGTCAGGGGTGCCCTACTTCACCAGCTAATGGGCCTTTAACCCAAGAAAATTTCTTGCAAGAAACAAGAATCAAGGTGTCCCAAAGTAAGAATGGTAACAAGAGGTAGCTTTTGGTTCATAGGCGTTGTTTTATTTGATCTTCACAACAACCCCAACCCCTTCTCAATAACCCTAATTTTATTTTATTTATTCACTTACTTATTTATTTTTTGGTACTGGGAATTGAACTCAAGACCGTATGTTTTCCAGGCAGGCGCTTATGCTGCTGAGCTGTATCCCTGGCCAATAACCCAAATTTTAAAGAAACAATAAATCATTCCTGTTATCAAGCCCTTTCTCTTTGACATTCTCTAGCTTAAATCCACAGCGGGCAGGTGTCAGACCTAAGGCTTCAGTTTCCTCATCCACAAAATGGGGAGAAAACAGCTGGACTTGATCATGGTTATGATCTATCCAACATTATCAGTCTTGGTTCTTTTAGTACAGATACGGTCCAGCCTTGAAACCCAGGGGTGTCATTTCCACTCGGATGATTAGCCTCTAGAGCACATGTGTGCAAAGACAGTGTGCAAAGATGTTCCCTGCACCACTGCTTGTGGTAAAAGCTAGGGTAGAGTCAGGAGGGTAGGGTAGGGTATGTTCATCTGGAGACTGGTTAAATAAATTAGAGTATAGCCACATACTGCACACTCAAGTTCATTACACAAAACAAGCAGATAGATCTCTCCTGGCATAGGAGGTCTCAAAAATCATAGTAGTAATAATAATTACATAAAACAATGATTGTAAATTACAATAATAAACATATTCACACAATGACACTAACATGGCTGTGGGATACATAGGCATGGTTACCTCAAGAAAGAGGATTAGATGTCTGCCACTGGGGGGAAAATGACTCATTGCATAGAAGTTTTTTTATTATTATTTTATTTTGAAGGAAATAAAATAAAACAATAAAAAACAAAACAAAATAGAAAAATACTGAATTTCAAAAATAAATCAAAAGGAAAACCCCCATGGTTGCTATACTGCATTGTTATCCTCTAAACAGGTGCTCAGACTACTGGCCCCAGGCTTCAAAGTCAATCGATCAAATCAAGCATTAAGTTATTTTTGTACTTCATTTACTATCATTCCAGCCTATGTTCCTGCAAATCAGCCAGTCATGAACAGGATGTGTGTGTGTGTGTGTGTGTGTGTGTGTGTGTGTGTGTGTTCTTGTCTCCCCAGCCCAAGCACCAGCTGGCTCACAGAAAGGGCAGGCTGACTCCCTGGTTCTTTCTTTTCCCAGCCAAGGCCTTTTTGAGACAGAGTCTGGCTCTGTAATTCAGGCTGGCTTTGAACTCACTGTGTAGCCCAGACAGACCTAAAACTCGCAGCAATCCTCCTGCCTGAGCCTCCTGAGTGCTGGGACTACAGACATGTGCCACCATGCTCCAATGCATATTCTTTTATATGGCCTTAACATATTATATTCCTTCTACTTCTCTTCTCGGTTTTCTTCTCCTCTTCTCATTTCTCCCCCCTCTCTCTTTCTTTTTCACTCAGACATTCTCTATGTCCTTCTCTTATTATTTTCTTCAAAAAATGTGTGTCACTGGGTGTGGTGGCACACACTTGTAATCCCAGAACTCTACACCTGAATTGCACCCCACATTCCTTCTTGATTTAAACCTCTTTGTATCAGACACACTCATCCCTTGTATCTAAGAGGCCCTCTGGGGGTGTGAGCCCTGCTGCCTTGAATCCCCTCCACCCTTCTCCCTAAGGTGTCTCCACAGGTTCCCCAAATGACTTGTGGGAGCAGAGTAGGATGTGAAATGCAAGAGGAGGCTGAACTTGACCATCTGCTCCCTGCTCTCCCTTTCTGAAGGTCCCAGCTTCTGTCAGGGTCCCCTCTGTGGAGGGCCACCAGGAAGACTCTCTTTGAATAAAAAACAGTTACCTCCACTTTGGCTAACCCTGGTCCTGTCTGCATGTACTGATATGTACAGACTGGCTCAGCCATTTCCTTTTCCTTTCGCTCTAAGCAATATAAATGGGGCTGATGTGTCATCTTTGTAACAGTTGGCTCCCCACCCTGTGACTCCCTTCAAGCCATGGGTTTGGGCCTTGAGATAAGAAGAGGCTGTGACTTTCCAGGGCAGAGAAGTTTGCATATTCGAAACTGAAGCACCAGCCCCTAAGACATTAAATGCTGCCTCATTTGTGGTATGCAAATTTATCTTTTTGCATATCCTTTTCTCTGCATATTGCAGAGGTGCTTTCTGGCCTCCTGCTTAGCTCAGCTCAGTACTTATGCAATTCCTGCCATTCTCACATTTGACAATCACTCATTCTCCAGCCACTCCCTTCTTCATGAATTAATACAATGTGGGTTAGGCCCTGGTTCCGGGCCTGTTTTCCAGTGAACCTTCATCCTGGCAGGACTTAGGACCCCTTGGCCCCCCATAACTATAAATATGTCTCGTTGTCTTTATTTTTGTCATGGGTTGCACTAGAAGTGGTAGATTGGAATTAACTTGCTAGAATTCCAGTAACGGGCCAGGGATTTAGCTCTGCGGTGTATACCAAAAAAAGTAAATAAAATTCCAGTAACTTTAGCATTACAAATATAAACTTCCCAGACTGATGAGGATGGGAAAAGGGATCTCTATACCCCTCTACACAGCCATTCTCTCGGAGCTCTGTCATAGGGGTCATTTGCGTGATGTCTTGTTGCTGTCCCCAAGCCCTGCCATGCCTTTGTCAAGAGTCCCTGCATGAAACTTTCAGCACCAGCTCAAGTGGGGCAAGGCATCCTGCCTGTAGGAGCTGTTGTGAGTGAAGCATGTGTATGTGTGCAGACCTCTGCGTGAACCACAGACACCAACTTCCTCTGTGTTCATTTGACAATCACAACCTGGAATGGGATGAGAGTGGGTTTTACTGAGTATTCACTTTTTGCCAGTCCCCATGAGCACATTTCCTATGCATGATTTTGTTTCAGCTCCACAAGCCTATAAGTCAGGATTTTTAACAGATGTTATAGAAGGAAAAAACAAACAAAACAGACCCAACTAAGTGCAGGGACTCACTGAATGGCCCAGGGCTGGATAAATAGTAGAATCAGGATTGGAGACCCACATAGGCTTGGCTCTGAAGCCTATGCGTTTTAAGGCCAGGTGTGGTGGG